CCAGTTAAATCTTTTTGTTAGACCCGCCTTATCTTACTTCTTATCTTTGCCTTACTTGACTATTTATGATCGTTGTTTTTGTTGTGCCTTTACCTTCCTCAAAAATCCTTTCGGGTTTTTTATATCTATTGTGGAGAAAATAGCAAAAGAAAAGAGATTACAATTAGTCATACGTGGTGCGCAAGTCGCTCACTTGATTTGCAACTGTAGGTAACACAGTTCGCACAGTGTCGATAAAGTGGGTGGTAAAAGCGTCTAGTAGAAATCTACCTTACCAGTTAGAAAGTTCAAGATTAGAATTTCACTGAAGTCACTAGAGGTCACTGTCTACATCAAAAAAAGAAGTTCATTTAATCAATAAAGACATTGAAATCAATTTCATCCCTAAAAGGCTTTACTGATCTATCGATAGTCATCGAGTACGAAAAATTGAACTTGTTCTATTTTCACCTATGAATATGAAAGGTTTACAGAGATATTATTAACCGTCTCGCTGAATTATAATTTCCAGAGAAATTATTATTTTCGTTTATATTTCGTTTACATCGAAGATCGATCAGTTACGTATAAAAATCACGGCGCAGAATTACGTGTACTTCGCGTAATACACGAAGCAGAATCCTTAAATGCTTTAACCCAGACTAAATAAAAACACAGCTCGAACCCCCTGTCCCAACCTGTTCACCGTCCGATTTCGTATATTTTCTGAATCAATATTGAATCTTCCGCGTGACCTTGGCACAACAGGTAGGTTAGTCAAATGGGAACAGGTCTTACTTACAATTCTCTTTGCATTTTTATCGACGGGACGACTTATCAACCATTTGTTCCCTATATAAAATTCGTGTCAAAACTTTCGCCTTGGTGATCGATGACCCACTACGCGATACGCGACTTGTATCTAATGTAACGTGCGATTTGCATATCAATAGAAACGCAATGAGTCGACGAAAATATTTATTCGGTCGCCGAGTTAGAAATAACCCTTTGGATAACTCTTTCCGTCCAGTAATTCATTCCAGTAAATCATGGATCGAAGACTTTATGTATTAGGTAGACTGGAAAGTAATGTCGTTTCTTTTACATTAAATTCAAACAAATTTTTGATAAATTTCTATTTTTAAGCAATTATGTAATCGTCCTCGTTATCAACCTAGTGTGCAAATTTTCAATGACCGATAAAAACAAGGATTTAAAATTGCAAAAACGACATTACTTTTCAGTCTACCTGATATTATGTATTAGTTAATATTTTTATCTAGATAAAAATTCTGTCAATGGGTAGAATCAAATAAGTAACTCTCTGATGTAAGATTAGGTCACGTTCACATAATGGAATATTTTATAACATTTTATAAAATTTTGCAACATTTTATCGATATAAACGACTATATTTACTACTTAGCTAAAAAAATCGGTTAATGTTATTTCGTGGCGCTAATAAGCGACACATGAAGACTCCCCTTTCCATTCTCTACATAACCTAAACGACATCTATTCAATTAATCAATTAATACTACAGCGACACTTCCCCCATTGAACGTTTCCTTCGTCGCTTTTTTCTTACAAAATTCGTCCCTCTAGAGTGGTCATTATCGATGGTTATAGATAACTTCGCGACGCTCCGACGAGAGTCATAAAATCGTGAAAAGTTCTATCGATAATAGAAGTGTTTCCGTTCACACTTCGAGGACAGATCTCGACGAGATCATCTCGAGAGTTTTGGCTAAAAAGAGGTAAGGTGACTCCCGTAGGTAAGGCCCGAGAAGGTCGTGGTAAAAAAATAACCGAAACGTCCGCGGGACCTGTCACAATTAACGCAGCCCGGCAATAAAATGGAAAACTTACGAGTACACACGTCACGGCCAGTCTAAATATTCGTTTTCTACGGTGCCACTTACGGATCCTTCGATCATTCCGCCGCGCTCGAGGCGAAGCTGGGCGAAGCCACTTAATAAGGGACGAGCTTGCGCCGTTTTCTCGAAAGACCCCTTTTCCGTACTTGTGAAAGGAAATCTTTTCGTGGACGGTGACGTTAATGCATCGAAAACTCTCGACGACGCTCGATTCTTTGATAATAACGATAAGGGGAATTTTTAAGCTATTCTTCAGGATATTTTCAACAACGTTAGTTGATATTTCGTCACTGTAACTAATGTTTTCTTTTGGTGGGTGAGGAATAACCTCAAAATCTCTGTCATCCCTTTTCCTTTTAAATCACTTATTGCGACGGTTCCTATTTTTCTCCTTACTCGTGCTTTATTAAAATTCACAGTATTCCATTTAATCATTTTTAAAAAAAAAAAAGAAAAAATAGTAATCGCAACTGATGCACACTCGCGTCTCGGTCGATAATTTCGTATCTTTGTCGCTTTCCATTCTTGTTTATTACCGAAAAAGGAAGAAATGCTAGTTCGGGGATAGGACGCCACGGGTAACATTTGTTTCGGCTTAGAAGGGGGTCCCCAGGCTGTAGGTGGTTTCCACGATAGGGAACCTCGGGTCCTGGGCCATCTGGAACGACTTAAAACACGGAGAGAATGGGAGAGACAAAGATGAGCCTGCCGAAAGTCTTTCGTGCTAGCGATCCAGCGAATGTCCTTTTTCTTTCGACCTCGTGCCCTTTATTTCCACCTTCCTTTGGATGTGTACGACGTACACTGTACGTGAGCAGAAAGGGACGAGTCGGATCGGAAAAGATGGCCGAGATAACCTCATGCTCTCTTCCATTCTCTAGATGAACTCGTAAATGGGTCTAGAATGTCTAGATTAACCTATGGATTACCGATCGAATATTCAAACATGGCCACCAGTCGCTCGGTAGGTAAAAGTAGAAGTCGTTTCGACAACGATTCAAAAGTCGCCGTTCACCTAAGGCCTAAGTAAGTACATCAATCCACGGCTTATACCGGCTTTAGCTGAATAACGCCACCAGACGATCCGACGGATAATCGTCCTCATTGAGGAATGCCAATCTGGTCTGGAAACTCCCAATCTTGACTTTCCGACGGATTTGCCGAATTTCCTTTGTTACGCAGTAGGCTGGGTGCTGCGAAGCTTTGTTCTTGTCTAATGACCTACGACACTTAATCGTGGTAAAGTCTGGACTACGTTAATTATATCGGTAGCTATTTTCACAAAGGTTCCTTTCAACTGGAAAATTCTCTGTCTAATATTGGCGTCTACTTATGCAAACTTTTTTTTTGTTGCCTTTATCAGTACGAAAGTAACCTTAACCTCTTCGTACATCGGAAATAACATCGGTGAAGCCAAACCATAAAATTTGTACTCCTCTTTTGGAAGGATTCTTTAGTTCATTATCTCTAGTTTCATTATCGACAGTGATTATAATTATAAAAATCTAGACGTCTACATACCAAGGGCGTGAAGAGGTTATGTTAACTTATCAATGTAGGTCTCTGTTTACTCCTGAAATTGGGTATATTAAATTAGTATGGTAATATTTGTACAGATTTAAATATCTACAGAATTATTACCAACTCTTTCGCGTTCTATTTGAACGATGGATTAGTTGTTGCAGCAATCTAAGTTACCGATTTACTCGAAGGTAATCGACGGTCGCTCGCGAAAGTCGAGATCGGGTAAATATACTTTTTTCGGTTTATCCGTCAACGTTTTTTTTAGGATTTCGAAGCATTAGAAGAAAAATTCTCTTCTTCCGCGCAGAAGACGGAAGTAGAGAGAGAGAGGGAGAGAGAGACGGAGCTTGGTGGCGATGGTAGAGAAGGAAGAGGTTTCGATGGCGAACAACATCAAAGGGAAGCGACAACGGATATGCGTAAACCTCGAGAGCTGCGAATGCCGAAAAACCGACAGAGGTTCGAGGTAATCGAGACGTTCTCGGGAAAACTCATCAAAGAGCCGTGAACGGATAAATGTAACCGGCCGTTTAGCGCGAACCCCTCGCTAATTTTAATTGCCGCCTGATTTACGTCTCGATTCGTTCCTTCGCGGTTTTCTATTTTTTTTTTTTCTTTTACCACCGCTCCTTTCTCCACGTACCGCAAAGATCTCCGTCGACCTTTCGACGCGCGTGGGTGGAAGGAGCACGATGAAATCACGAAATGCCTTCGCGACGAGCGGATAACAAATTAGTTATCACGCTCGAGAATTCCGGTCTCGGAGGTTTTCAGGATTTATTAACGAGGCTTCTGTCGCCTCTAGAATTTTAGAAAACACGGTAGTTAATCGGGGGTAAATGTGAAATAAAATTGTTTCGAATTCTTTGATCCGTTGCCAGTTTTTTCAAAATTAAGAAAATTGGTAATAAGAAATAGGTGAAGTATTCCAAAGGGATCGTGTTTGCACTCTATTATTTTTATTGGGAAAGTCTCGTTAATTCCTAATAGCCTCAGGGTAGTTACGTTAATTCATTTCTCAGGTACCTTCATTAATTATATTACCATATGTAACTAATAAATATAAACTGTGTTACAGGAAAGACATAGGCCACCTTTAACGTCCTACAATTTCCAAGAGGATCATATTCGTTACAGGTACATTAATTTATTTCTCAAAATCAAAAGTGCCTTCCCTAACTATAACCATATCTGTACCAATTTATTACTTACCATATATAACTAATAAAAATAAACATTTTCCAGGAACGATTCCCGGTACCTTTAACCCCTCTCCTGGGACAGGTGCGCGTCAGAACTGGGTTCTGGTTTTCCTTCGCGGCCATCCTGTCCATCCGCGTTTCCCGGGGGGAAAAACCGAGGTTATGTGGGACTACCACAATCGACGATCAGGCCCAGGTACTTCATGGTGGGCCTGATGTCGACGAAGGTATCCACGACGCGAATCCGGAGGTCCCGATCGCAGGGCGGCCGCCGCGCCCGGAGGAAGGACAACCCGCAGCACCGCGTCATACGCAAGGTTCCACAGAAGCGGTCCGAGGACCGACCCCTGCGGAACCCCGCGGTGCGTCTTCCTCGTGTGCACAACCTGGTACCGGCCGGTAAATACTACCTCCTTCCGCGGAGATAGTCTCAAACCACCTCCAGGAGATAGGGGGGCACCTGGAAATAATCCAGCGCCACCGCTATCTCCCTCCAGGGCAGGGTGTTGAAGGCGTTGGATATGTCCAACGACACAGCAATCAACACCCGGCCCCGAGCGACAGCCCTTTCCTGGAGGAGGCGCAAACGCTCCAACGCGTCCATCGTTGAGCGACCCCTCCGAGTCCGTCACCCCTGCGGCTGTTTTCACACAAAACAAAGAAAACCCGTCCTCCCCTCCCGTCGATATTCCTTCGTTCCCTTCCCGAAGGGCGGCACTCCACCCTGGCTAGCCACCCTCTCCTTCGTCGACCTGCGCCTTTCTTCGATCGCGGCTCGAAAGTTCGCAGCCCGCGGTTATGGGAGCAAGGGGAGACGGAAAGCGTCGTCACCATTAGCTCGCTGGACAGCCTTCCAATTACGGAAATGGTGGGACCCGGGGCGTGGAGGGGTTGACGAGAGGAAAAGTGTCGTTGATAGGCAGCCTAGGGACACGCGAAGGGTTGAGATATGATTCCCTTCCATTTTTATTTTGGTAGATTAGAAGAGTTTCTATCACGTTGATAATATTAGCACAAGATTTCTTGTACCTCTGTAACAATTCCTCCATTCTATAACAATGCATTTTTTCTTAGTCTACGTTTCATCCGTTTTAGTTTTTAATGTTATTATTAAGAATTACTGTTACTATTAAATATTGCTACTATATCTCTTTGGTTTATACTAGTATCGCATTAGAAGAACGACTGCGCTCGTGGTGGCTGGAGAATGCCGTCTTTGGCAGACAGCGTGGCACCGAAGGCTGTCTATCCTTCTTTTTTTTTTCCTCGGGCGTGGCAATAAGGAAGTGGGCCCGCTGCTTAAGAAAACAGAGAGCCGCCAATATCGAGGCAGGCCCGGCCGACTGCCTGAGAAAACAGTGAACCGTTTTCGGAATCCTGTCGAGGATGCGAGCCGGACTTGGCTTTCCGTCATGAATGAAAACCTGAATGCTCGCGAGGACGACGAGAAATGCGACTGACGCGTCTGCAGCCAGACGTGGGTAAAACGATAGGCTAGCTAACAAATTTCAAAGCTTAACATTAAAATTAATAGATCAAGATGAAAGTTAACGCACTTTGGTTAGAAAATAAAATGTACAATTAATTAAAGATGAATTATAATAATAAAGATAGTGTAGAAGTCTGTATGAAATTGAGAAAATCATGAAGTGAGTTAGTGTCAGGGATGTGACAGGATTTGGAAGTGGAAAGGAGACCCAGGCCCTTTAGGATTCAAAACGAAACAGACGATCGTGTTTCTAGGCTGTCTGCCGCAAGACAGCGTGGCACCAGCGGCCAGGGTAGGCGGTGACCGCTTAATTAACGGCCTGACGAAAGGCAGCGGCAATTAATACTTCCTTCCAGGCCCTGGTGTCCCTTGGTCCAGCTTGCACGTGTGAAATACCAGTAGGCGATGTTTGTCACTGCGTTGTCACACTGAGATTTCTCTCTCTATACTCGCCACTGAGCTAAACAATGCAGTGATTATGTAAACAAACACCGCTGGGTGGGAAACAAAGCATTATTGACCAAACAAAGTATTGGCGGTAGACTTAGCGTCGAAACTGAGCGTTTCGGCTCCTGCAGAGTCAGGTCTAATCCAAACAGTATTAAAAGTTCTCCAAGGTTGCTGATGCATGTACGAATGTGAGTGTTTAATTTGTTATTATTTTATCAATCCTCTGTTACGTCAATTTTATTTCATATTCGATTTCGTTGAGAATTATTGCTAAGAGCTGTGAATATTTTCCAGGTGAGACTTTCATCCCGTGGGAGCGTACCGCTTTTACAACAAGTCTGTCCGCAATTAAACAACGTCCAATCGCATCCTTGCATTCGATCCTTGGGTTCGATCGATCCCTGCTTACGAAGCAGAACTCGTTATCGCTCCTCGAGCGATGCCAATCCGTCTTTACGCCTAACGAGTTGCGGGAACGACAGAAAGTTCGGTGAAGGTGCAAAACGGATACACAATGTGTGTATCTTTCGTGGCCATAATGGAGCTTAATGGAGCTGACTGTCAGCGCGGAGTTTCTCCTTGTCTCGGTAGCAGTTCGCGATTGGACAATGCGTGCTCGGTAGCCATACTGCCTCCGTTATTTGACAAGACGTGTCCTCGCACACGTGGCCACACATACGGCGATCATTGTATTGCGAATGCCGTATCGTGTCAGTGTAGTGGTCGAAGGAAGATGAAGCAGAGTTTGGAGAAAGGGTTGAAATCGAACTAACGACTAAGTTGGCGTCAGTGGAGGTCTGGACATCTAAAAAAATGTTTGGGTCACGCTTGGACTCTCAAGCATTAATTTCTCCATTTCTTCTTTGATCCTGAGTGTACTAATAACTCTGATATGGATGTATGTATATGTTATTTAATATTATTGTAGAATGTATTATATTTTAGAAAACTTGGATAAAATTGAGAATGCATTATTTTCAGTATTTCTGCATTTGGGACATGTTGCTGACCCACCAACCTCGCAGAACTCCGGACCCTGACTTGGCGGCTTCTTTCGCGACAAGCCCGTCGATCGACGATCCTTCGTTCAGTGACGACGACCATCGGAGTCAAGCCATTCTAGGAGGGCTGGTGTTTTGACACGATGGCACCTCGGAGGATAATCCTTTAAACGGCCACGACGGGTGGTCCTCCGCGAGTCACCTTTCCCGCAGGACTTGGCCCGTCGCTTCCGCCTTTAATCCCGTTGGCCAATCCCGCGCACGAGCACTTCCTAGCGTCCTCGAAGCCGGGAAAGTCTGCGGTTAATCCTGCGAAAGTCTGAGAGCCCCCATACCCTGGCTTCTGTGTACTGTTGCCGAATTACCATCAGGAATTGTTCGAAAATGTGGAAATCGGAGATAAAGTCCACTTCCTTTCGGGCAGTTTCTCGTCCGTCGATGATAGTTTGAAGATAGAGCGTAGATCGCGATCGAAGTTTGTACCGAGCGATATATGTAGATTTTTTTGTGTGTTAGAACACAATGCCGTCGTTGTCCTAGGATTACGCGCGCACGAGTTAGGATTCGACGGAGCGCATGGCTAGGCTCGTAGAACCCGATATTCGAACAGAGATCCAACTGTCAGACTCGAGAATCGTAGAAACTTGTGAAGCCTCGGATGAAATTGTCAGGTTCGCGCTGGATACGAAGAGTGAAACCGAGAACTTAGTTTGTAACTTATAATTAGACTGAGAATCTTTATGCAAAATAAAATCTTTACGAATGTACGTATGTACAAAAATTCAAGCTAAGTAGGAATTTATTTTGTTCTGTAAATATTACGATAGGAATTTTACTTTCAACATTTTTTTATGTTTCTCATGCTCAATGCATTTTGTATTCGCAGTCTGCTTATAATAAAATAGGATGAGTCACGTCAAAGTGACAAATTGTATTCGGTTGTCTAGGTATTGGTAGTAAAGAAGAGCAATAAAACATCTATCTACAATTTCAGGATGAATTGATCAACATTCTTTCTTCATACATTTGTTCAAAGTATCTAGTAAAATATTTCAAAAGAAACTGTTATTTCGGTTAAAAGTTTGTCGTGACAGATGAATTTTAAGGAGTGTAAGGGAAAGGACGAGGAGCAATTTATCGGTCACTCGGCCTTTCCAAGGCTCACGTCTCTGCGGTGGAACCTTTGTCTTTAATTCCCGGCATCCGGTTCCGGTCCTTATCTTACGTTACACATGTAACCTTCTGTGCTATTTGGCCCATTGTTGGCCACATGTGCCTCGTCTCAAGAGGTTTGCTTATGTTGGCCCACCTAACATAGCAAAGCTATGCCCAGACTCGAGTGTAAACTTCGCCGACAGACCGATCCTGGAATTCGATTGCATCTAATCGTTCCCTGGCAATGATACGACTCTATTTAAGTAACTCCGATAACTGTCAAACACGTTACCGTTCAGCAACCGAATGGCAAACAGGATCGTACAGGTCTCTCTTATTTATTTCCGCGAACATTTGACTGATTTATTTTTATCCTTACTTTCGATATTTTCGATATTGTACATTGCGCGTGTATTGTATATTTTGCAATTTCCTGCACATTTGGAATAACGAATGCTGCCTTTCTTCTCTCGATGAAGCAATCATCTTGATCCTGTGAATCAACTACGGTGCTTATAAAGTATATATTGAAAGCACAAGAGAAGTATTTAGAATGCTATTAATTGTTTAAAGTAAACGAAAAAGAAAATGGTCGATGGGTTTAGTTATCCCGTAGAGATTAGTCCGGAATTAATTTCATCTCTTGTTTCAGGTACGCTCCGGGAAACGCGACGTTAGTAGAAAATTTATACGAGATTCGAGGAGTTTGAAACTCACGCGAGGATGAACACCGTTCGCTCTGGCGGTCTGGAAAACACCCAGAATCACGAGTCTCGTGGAAATCTTGTTTTCTGTGATGACATCTCGTATACACGCGCATGCTCTCCAGGTAGCTATATCCTAGAACAGACCTACCATAAATTAAACAATTTTAAATCAAATAGAACTTCAATCGTCTTTCTTTTTTTTTTTTAAATTATATTATTTAATTTATTTAGAAGTGTTTATTAATGTAGGATTATCCATGTAGGATTAATACATATTCTTTTAACGTATATTCTTGAAAACAAAATATTTTATAAAATTAAGTTCTTCAAAAATTTCACAAAATTCTATCATTAATTAAAAATAAAATTACATTTTCAAACGAACAAAATAAACGTGAATGTTATTTATTTTAGGATTAAATCATTTCTACGTACGTTTACAAAGATTTAACGTTACGTTTAAAACGAGTTAAAATAAATGAATAGACCAACTGAAGGAATCGATCAAATTGAGAATCTCTTTGTAAGTAATACTAATCTAACTAATCTAATGTAAGTATCGATCCTCTGTCTGAATTAGTCCTCTATCCTCAGGTCTCTTCGTGGATGGAGCAGCTTCGGACCGACCGACTCCACTCCATCGTTTGGACAATGGCCGATTCCGAAGCGTCGGATCTGTCGATCGGTCAGCGACATCTAATAAACGAGTAAATAATTTCGGTCACGTACCATCCTCGCTCACAATGGCAGCTCCTTAAATAGGATTATATTAAGCTGTTTCGCCGCCGGTGAATGGCGAGTCAAATGGAGGATCGTCGAGGATGTTTTGGTAGGCGCGACTACGTGAGCAGTCGACGCGACGCGTACCAGCGCCGCGATGAAGAAGGCGAAGAGAAGGAAGGTGGTTTGACAGGTGAATGGTCAGGGGCATATCCGTGGTCCGTTGTCCACCAGCTTTCCCACGTCCTGCTACCTACAATCTCTGTCCTTTCGTTCCTCTTTTCTCCACTCTTTTCACGCCCCCTTTTACACCCTTCGAAATTTTGCGCAAGCTTCAGAGATTATTCCATCATGGACTCGTGGTAGTATTATATGTATAGACGTAGGTGGATCTTGAGGATGATTTCTTTTTTGTATCACATTGACTCGTCCGGAATGTCCATGCCGATTTTTCGCAGGTGGTACGGGCCTGAATATCAAGCTTGAAAATCACGAGTCAGGCTCGTTGTTAAATTCAGTGCGACCATTCGGGCTTCAGCGGAGTGCAAGGTGTTTGTTTTTCATCAAAGTAATTGTACTACGATGTTTAATATGATAAGAATCAACACTGTGTCTTGAAACTGTTTTTCATCAAAGTAATTGTATTAGGATATCTAATATGGTAAGAATTGTCTTAAGACACCGAAACATCAAAATATCCAAGTGTTCTAATAATTTTGATAAACAGCGTAGATTCGATTCGCGATCACGACTGAAATCAATGCCTCTGGATTGCGATTTAGAATGGACAGTTTGCGAAGCGTTAACGCGAATACGTCGTCGTTCACGGATTCGTCCAGGCGTTTTCAAAGAAATTCAGGTATCATATATCCGTGCGCAGGTGTCGTTAAACTTTCATTTTGTAAGGCGCTCTGTATCTCGTTCGCTCGGACAACGTACATTCCGATCGAACCGCGGCCCATAAAACAGAGGGCTTTCATCGTGTACAACGCCGCGGCGCGAACCGAAAATCTCCGAGCGACTATTTCCGAGGCCAGTTTAAATTTAAAAAGCCCGCCAATCGGAGGTACCAGACGGTCGAGCTGTCGTTGGATCGCCTCTCTTTGTCGTCGAATTATTTTAGCGGCCGATATTTCCATCCGTACTGCCACCTAAGCGAGGCCTCGAGCCAAAGTCAACAGAGAACGGGCTCCACCGACTCGCTTCCTTTCGCTCCCTCTTTCCCGGTCCCCTCGTCTCGCTCTGAACCTCGCGAACTTCCAGAAACGAATCAGAATTCGCGGAGCGTGCAGCCGGCATCCGCGAACAAGTTGCCAGGGGGACGCGTCGTTGGAATTGAGTCTTCCGAATTTCAATTAGGGAACTCGCGGATCGGTATGATTCGCTTTGCTATTTTGAACATCTAAGGAAACATTGCGGGGGAGTTGCACTCCTCGTGGAATACCGAGAAGTTGAGGTTGTTGATAGGTAGGGGGTGGTAGGGTTGGTAGACCTCGATTATAGATAAGTTTCGTTGATTGTTGAGTTTGACGAATTTCACGAAGCTTAGAGATTGAATCATCTGCTGTGACATCAACTTCTTTAGAGATTGCATCTGCTATTGGGTTGTTCAGAAAGTTCGTGCCATTTGATATGTATTTATTGAATTATATAAGTACCATTTTGTTCCACGACCTTTCCACCTTTTAAGGGATACACCCATGTTAAATGTTTTCAACCATTCCGATATAAACAGACGTGTACCACCTACCAAAACTCGGCATGGACTTTCCAGACAGTCCAATAATTATACGGATAAAAGTCAGCATAAATAACCGTGTTTCATTAATATTAATATATACTAATGTTCTGTTCTTCGTTGCCCTCTTTTTAAATAGACTGGTAGCCAAAGGTGTTAAGAACGCGGCGCCATAGGAGCGAACGCGGCAACCCTGTTCTGCAGTGGAGTCCTGGTATCTCTCGAAGACGTCGCGACCGATCCTCGAGCGTCCATAAATCGGTCGTTTGCCGTGTATCCGCGCTGGGAACAGAGAAAGCAAACAAGAGATAAATCAACGATAAAACGGTCTGGCGATCGACGAATCGACCGGAAGAATAATAGTTGCCCGCCAGCTAGATGACGGTACCGTGCTAGGTGCCAAGCCGTCTAGTTAGAGACGAGGAAACAAAAATAAAAGTCGGCCACCGTGCATCCAACTATCGTGAAATCGTTTTAGTAGCGCTTTACAGTCGCGAGATGTATGTTTGTGTCTTTGATCGAACGAATATGCTGGATTCGATTGGTTTGTTTAACGCTGGTAAGACTCTTCTCGAAACTCGAAAGAAATTTGTTTAAATCAAATGGCAGGTTTGATGCTTCGAACAGCATGTTTGTATAAGTATGTTGATGTGTGTATAAATATGTAATATCAAATCTATTATTTAATTCAGTCAAATTTATATACATAGACATGGAGGGTACGAACATTTATGGGACTGACTGTATACAGTGTACTATTTAATAGTGGTTTTTGTTTTGTGTAGCTCCACGATTAGGTAGAATAAGGTGAATCACTTTCTCAGCGGCACCTGATTCGAAAATACCAGAAGGCGTCAAACATATCGCTTTCTTGGTCAACATGGAGGGCCAGTCGCGTCCGTGGCGTTCTTAACGCCGAATCGTGAGTCGCAACGAAACGGCTCAAAGCTACTCGAGTGCCACGCGAGAGAGCAAATATTTGAGGAAAGACGAATTCCAATGGAATCCCGCAGACATCGCGGCACCGCGTTGCAAGAATCATCGATGGCGTCGAGTAGGAGCTGGAATTGCTCGTGTCGAGGAAGAGGAATCGGTGCTGAGCCAAGAATAATGCGATGTCACGACTAAAGGCAACGCGGATGGTAAATGAATTGGTAAATAAATTCCTTCCTCGATAACGGCGCGGTCAATAATTGTTATTTTTTTTTTTTTCCAAAGGTTTACAATAAATTGAACAAATTCACACGAAGATCTGTACGTTTCGCAAGAGTCTGTGTAAAAATAACAAAATCTTGATACTTGAACTTCGTGAAACGTGGCGTGGTCGTGGTTTAATCGAAGAAGTACCTCGACAGGGATCTTAAATGATTCGCGAGCAGCTATCGGTCCCGAAACTTGACGATTCGACGACTCACGGGTCCTCCGTCTATCGGGATCGTCCGATTATTTATACTATAAGCAAAATACCCACGAGCTCCCGGGCACACTCGTAATTCGAACGAGGGATCACCGCTGGCCTGTCAAAAAACGAAATACCATCCGGTCCGCTTCGAGCCTCCACGTCCACTCGAGTGTGGTATATTATGAATGAACCAACGGGTGCAGAGAGAAGAGAGAGAGTGACTCGAGTCTCTCGAGCCTCTCCAGGCTCAATGGAACCGAGAGAAAAATCCGTGTGGTCATTTTTCGAATGCACAATGAGCAGTCGCTCTCTCGCCTCTCGCCTCTCGGGTTCCTGCGCTCTCCGTCCGCCCTGATCGAATCTGCGTGTTGCTGCGTCACAACAGTGACACACACTGCCTCGGGATTCCTGGGAGGGGAGAACCGAGAAACGTGAAGACGCCTGGTGAACGGAAAGGTGAAAGAGAAAGAACTTGGACGCGGCTCACAATGAGCATCGCCGATGACTTAGCGTCGAGGAAGGAGGCCCCCGTTAGGGCTATTTATGCGATCTCATTCCGAGACGAGGTGACACGGCCACGTCGCCGTAAACAATGCCGTTTCACGAGGGAAGAATGTCCACTGATTCGATTAACGGCGATGATTGGTTGGTATCTTGCCTTTGGTCCTCGAGACTCTTTGGAATTCTTTCTTTCGAGAAAGAGGAGAGGCTTCTGGGAACCGTGCCTAGGAACGTTCCAGTGAAGGAACTGGAAGTGAAGCGTCGAGCCAGGTACTGCTGGCGACCTTCGATAACTGATTAACCCCTTGCGCCACGCTGAAACTCGAAAAAAGCCGATATTTATATATGTATAGTACGTAAGATCTGTATACAGAAGTTTGAAAAGAGTCATTCTAGGTAGCTAGTTATCGTAAATTTGTGGAAATGGCGGAAAGGCACGTAGGAGACACTCGATACCCCTTGCCTCGATCACGAAGCTTCTCGATCGATCATGCGAAAGCGTGATCCAGACGGCGTTGGGTGAATCGTTGGATCCATCGGTCAAGTCGTTGACATTTTGACGAGGCGCAAGGAACGTCTGGCGTCACGTAAAAAAGCCGTTCGTCTTCGGGAAGGCATCCACCCACCGTCGACAGGTCTGACGCCTTCCGAGGGCCTGATGTGAGGTCTCCGGGACGCGGACCACACGCGCACATACACACGCGCGACGGTTTGAAGGGTCTTCAGCCGTCAGAAGCCGTTTCGAAACTTAACGGACGTTAATTACGACTCGGTCAATTTCTGTAATTGGGCTCGCTCACTGGCTGCGATTTATTCCTACTCGACTTTCGTGCAGATGTTAACCAATCCGCGACGATTATCGATGGGTACCCTAATAGATCTTCTTATGATTCATACTTAACCGGATTTAATTTGATAGAAAAATGCCTCGTGCGCAAAGGGTTAATTGTAAATTTACCGTAACCTTGCTTCGTTATGTTTGGTTTTTCAGAGTCTCGATACCGGCTATTGAAAAACTCCGGTTTCTGTTTTTTCTTTATATCCACAGGACCGCTGTATCTCCGTGTAACGAACAATTTCACGGCCTGCTTTGGTCGTTAGGGGAGCCCTGTTAGGTGTTAACGACCAGCGGAAACGATTCTTGGTCACGATCCCGCCCACCGATTTTAGCGGAACAGGAAAGTGTCGTCGGATATGTGACCGTCCTTCAGGAAGTAAATGATCGAGAAACCAAGCTCCGTTTGTGTAAACACGACGGTTTGTCGGAGAAGCATGTTCGTTTAATTACAGTAGCCGTGATTTACAAAGGAGTCGATGTCATACCTTCAGATTCGCTCTTAAATTGCAATGCTCATTTTTTATAAAATTTCTTGTAGGAGCCCCAATACATTCCATCATTCATATTAATAATACGAATAGTTGATGTTAATAGTTACTTACTTCGTAAAAATTATTTATTCGTTTTTATAAAGTACTTATACTTTAACAAGGAAAACATTCTCAAGTTTTATACTAGTAATACAATTTATGATTGACCAGCAGGTTTCACACGAAATTTCGCGAAACTACAAGTTTACAACTCCCTAGATTCCCTAGATCTTCCCTCCAACCTCCTCCAGCTTCTTCCCGCATAAAAAATGCGTCAGTTCGATACCTTTCGCGCAAGTCGAAGCCTCAGCTTTCCCCTCGGTTTTCCCTTCAGTGGGCGCATAGAAAAAGCAGCGATACATCGCGCGATACGATGCTTGTTTGCACAGGGTCGTTCAAATGCATGGAAATCCGAGTTCCTACGGTTGTCACTTTGAAAACGGTCCCGACGGTCGCAGCCGATTTCCTCCGTGAAGCTCGCGACGCAGACGCTGGGTGGTTCCGCTATCAAACGGTTGAACGCCTTCGAAGACGAATGTCTCTCATCTCCAGCACGATTTTTTCTTCTTCTTCGCGCCCCGTCACCCCTTTCTACTTCCTTTTCCTAGCTTGGGAGCTTTCAAGCCCCATTACCGTCGCTTTGAAACACGCTACGCGACGTTTTTATTGCTCTATTATTGGCCACGGGCTCGAGGCTCCACCGCAAAAGATTGCATTTCGACAAAAACGCGTCTCGAACTCCCGTTCTCCTGGCATCGTAAAACGAGCGACGTCTTCAATTTCTTACTCGTTTATTTGTAATAAAAGAATTAAAAAGTACGCAAGCGATGTTTGGATCGCGTGACCGATGCCGTTTTCACGAAGGATTTTATAGATCCCGACGGTTCGGGCCTCGTAGATAATTTCATTGATTTATTCGTTTATTTAAAGCGCTTAACTTATTATACAAACCTCGAGGTTGCTAAGCCCGTACTGTAGCTACAAAAATAATTTCGTGTTTACGGAGATTTCATGGAAGCGACGGCACGAAGAATTCCATGAACTGTCGTTATCGATACTCGCAGAGCGACGATAAGCCTATTTCCCTTTTCCCCTGACGCCCCCTGTCGCGCATCGTTGACCAATGGAGCGAGAACGGGAGACGAAAGGGAAGGAAAGAAATGCGACGATCGCGCTACACGACAATTAGGCGGCAGTTTCACGCGTTAGCCCGAACGCATTGTTTCGTCGCGATAAATCTGCGCGTTCTTAACCTACGAGTCAGCCTCGTCTACTTATCCCGAAATTGATCTTTTAATAATTGCTTGTCGCGCGGCTCACGGCCCGTCAAACGTTGACCGTTTCACGCCAGCATGAGTTATCTAATTTTCTCGATCCGCGGTTGGCGTACCCGTCATAATATGTTCTTAATATTCAACAGCGCTTACGACACGTTCGTGTTGTGTCAACAGAGCTCATTGCCAGCATCAACAAGAAACGGTTAGTCTAGGTGCGTCTCCAAGATGAACATGGTATCGCGCGTCTTTGTCACAAAAGCTGCGCGGAATTTGGAGCCTGTATCGTCGACGAAGAGGACCCCCGATCTGCCCTCGCCTCTGTCGCGGTTGTTTCGAATACAACGGTGCGCGAGTAATCGCTAACGTCCAATATTTCGTCTGCCTGCTTGCGGTCTGTTTGCGTTCGCTGCGACGAATAACTTGGCTGCAACAATGCAAACGGAAACGGTTACAAAACTACGCCGACGGTTCGGGAGGCGAGTTTGAGATGGTTTGAGACAACGCTGTGGCAAACTAATAGAACGGAAGAGAGGGTGAGTAAAGATCGATTGAAAAGTAGAGTGCGCCTTCCAGCGGGAACAAAGGTCCTTGTTTCGCCTCCTTGCTTCCTACGTTCTTCGAAGTCGTCGAAGTACGTACTACTCGTTGGACAAGAGGAAGTGCTTTTTGTCCTGCCTGGAGCGTCCTACGCGTATATTTAACTTGGAGTACTCCATTCCCTTTTCGCACGGTAGGTCCGGGATACGTCACGCGCAATAAAAAAAAAAAAAAAAAATATGGCGGACTAGGAAACCATTTCTGTGGTACCAGAAGCAATGGAAAAGAATAACTGATATATTTTCTACACGTTGCATAGAAACTATTGAACTATAGAAACTAGTGGATGAAACTATAGAGACCGTGAATCTAGGTAAAACAAAGATAGTGGAATAGGTGAAACAAAGAGCGCAAACGGTTTGCAACACTAATTCCAAATCGGTCGCGCCTTGTGCGATCGGCCTAAGACTTTTCCTCTAATGGGAGTATCCATGTATACAGTCTAGGGAATTCCCTCTAAAAAGGTTGACAGCGATTCGGTTAGCCACCTTCATTCCGCAGTCGCGATAACGACTTCGAAATAGCACGGTTTTGGTTGTTGTACACACCGGGGCCAAGCGTGGCTGGGCTCGGTCACGCACTGAGAATATTTTGTCAATCGTCAGTGGTGCTCGTTAGCGGCATCCGTCAGAGACGCGGAGGCGTCTCGGCGCCATGACTTCTCGAAATAATCACGTAGACACGCATAGAACTCGCTTTTTCTTATTCCTCGGTGGCATAGGTCCCGTCACGGCGGTTCGACTGGATGTTAGTTCGCCATACCAGACATTCTTCTCCTTCGAAATTGAACCGATTAGTTCGGGAGTGACTGACTCCTCAATGACTTCGAGTTCATTCTGGGTGTAGGTCTAGGTTTCCTTAAAATAAAATTCAATCACAAAAGTGGATAATTTAACCTAGAAATGGTC